CGGGCAATGGATTGGGCCTTTGACAGAGGCAAACGAACAATGTGGTGCGATATAGTAGGCAGGAAGACTGTGCTGTCTGAATCCACGACCAACGTGCCAATTACTCACCCACAGAAGACAATGCCCAAAGTAGGACCTACAGAGCCCAGCATAGTATTCGTCAGAGGTGGTTGCGGCGAACGATCTGGCAATGCCGGAGAAGGCGGGAAGTATGTTTGTCTGGTTAGTCAGGGAACGACCTGGTGTAGCGGTCGACGAGCTCGAACCGATAGAGCCTTTGTTTTGTGTCAGAATCGATTGGTTTCGAGCTAATATTCGGTACGCCAATAAGTATCGGTCCGGTGAACAATCCCCCGCCGAACAGGCGTCCGACGTCGAAAGGAGCTCCATTACACCACGGGTACTCAAGCGTTGCTCTGGATTCACAACATTCCCACCGGATAGTGTCTCTACAGTAGTGAGCAAACCCGCGGCGACGCTCCTGGAGAGTCCATCCTCGCTGTGTCAATGGGTCAATCCTCGGAATCTGTCCGACGGGATACGTATCCCGGCTCCAAAGTCGGAGGGTTGTCGTCGAATCTTCTGCCAATCCCTATGAGGAGGTGCTGTCGATATTGACTGGACACTCAATGTCGACAGGGCCGTACGATCGCACATGGTCCACGACTTGGCATCCTCCCCGACCATCTGCAGAGCCCGACGCAGCCATGGTGAGATGTGCGTTGGAGTAAACATCAGCCATCTAAGCCGCCTCTCTCTCCCAGTCGTCCCGTGAATCTTGAATAATACAGAGCGAATCGATCCAAACATACGGCACACCAAGACGTCGCGTGTTTTGGACGAAATCCTGAAAGGTACGGGGCAGCTTGTCTGCGGACCTGATTCCAGCACTCAGCACCAAAACAAGCCTTGGCTCAGCCTCTGTTCCCACATCAACAAGGCGAGTTGGGAGGAAACCAGTCCCTCGACGACAGCCTTTGTGATTTTCCAGACAGTCCATTGACCAACGTTGCAGAAGACGAGATTCGTAGGCGCGGTGAAGACTAGAACGATCCCCTCCGACTTCGTCGAAAGAAGCCGACTTTACCGTCTCCCAGGTCCCCGTGCCATTCAATTAGCCAAGAGGTCTAAGCCAATTCATCAAGCCCGGCTTGGAGGCCCATACTCTAGTCCGGAGGCACAGCAAAGCCTCGAAAATGACCGGCATCCCTCCAGCCGACCCTCACAATCTGCCACCCGAATTTGGTGCTGCTCAGACACATCCGGTCATCTGGATTCCACGTTCCTGGCAACGTGTACTTGCCGGCGTGCTCAGATTGGAATTGGATGCTGTTAAGCGCCTCGACAAGGCAACAAGCGCCAAGTTCCAACTAAATCGTGTTGGCCGCTGTGGCATCACCGTAACCGACTGTTTGGCGGGAAAACCAGGTTATGGAAAAACAAAACACCGAGCGCCAAATGATAGGATACCCATTACCATATGTCGGGCCGTTTATGGGGCGAGCCAGCAATTGACACAAAGAGGCATTGCAGGTCTTGAACCTGCCGCCTGCCTTCAGCCGCTAAATTGTACTAGCAACTAGGGGTAGTCAGCTACTAGCACCTTCAGAAACCACAACAGCAGCTGGAAAGTGGAACCAACCACAAGATTGCAATCGTATAACTAACTAGAACGAGGAAATAAAAAGATGTCTTTTGTAAGTAGATAAAAAGAACCTTTATTCACTTTACCCCGCTCTGAATTTTTATAAATTTTACTATCTTTTAAACGAAGATATAAAAATTTTCTATCTAACTTAATGTTTAGAGTATCAAAGTATTTAATTGTATCAAGAATACTTTTAAATTCTTTCTCAAAAGCCTTCAGCCGCTAAATTGTACTAGCAACTAGGGGTAGTCAGCTACTAGCACCTTCAGAAACCACAACAGCAGCTGGAAAGTGGAACCAACCACAAGATTGCAATCGTATAACTAACTAGAACGAGGAAATAAAAAGATGTCTTTTGTAAGTAGATAAAAAGAACCTTTATTCACTTTACCCCGCTCTGAATTTTTATAAATTTTACTATCTTTTAAACGAAGATATAAAAATTTTCTATCTAACTTAATGTTTAGAGTATTAAAGTATTTAATTATATTAAGAATACTTTTAAATTCTTTCTTAAAACTTTCTCCTCTTACTATTATAGGTTTATTTTTTTTTATTAATTTTTAATGAATTTAAGTCTGTATTAACTTTTAATTTTTTATATTCATTAAGAATTAATCCTACGTCTTTAAAATTATTAGGTAAAGTATTCTCTGAGTATTTACACAAGAAATTATGAAATACTTTTTCATTTTTTATATATTCAGTCCTGTCCAGAGCATTAGAACTTAAAAGTAGTATAGTTTTGTAGTTTTATAGTTTTTGTAGTTTTTCATATGATAAATAATATTAAATCTAATAAAATACTTATAAGATTATAAGTTTTACGGATAAATAGTATGAATCCTATACTATAAGCTAATATAAAAAGTGGGTCCTTATAAGCTCTTATAAGCCTAGAACTTAAAAAACTATAAATATAGTTTTTATAGTATAGTGTAATATAGTGATTTTTCATAAAATTATATAATCTAATTTTATAGCTTATTAGAAGTTAAAAGGGCCCACTTTTTTACGTAAGCTAATTGGTTATAATATTAGCTAATTTATGTATTTATTATTATAATTCAAGTATTTTATTTAATTTATTATTAAATATTTAAGCTTTTTTAAAAATTGAAAATGTAGTTTTCTTGTTAATGCTCTGGTTATAGGGTCCCCAGCCCACTATAAATACAGGGGTTTTTGGTGCTGGGCTTGTTGGAAGCCCGCTGTGTGGCCCAACTAGTTGATAGATGGCCTTGTTATCTAGATTTCGGTTGACAGCTTATATTATACTAAATTATGCGTTAAAATTAAGGTTAAAAGATTGACCCTAATTCCGGGAATCACAGCCTTAGGGTCCCACGACAGGTTGGTTTCTTTGTTAGATTGAATCAGCTCCAACGGCGAGAAATGCGGCAGGTATAGATCATCGCCATCGTCGGATTCACTGTCTAGCTCGCATTCTGGTTCATAAGCCAACTATTTGTGTACTACTAGCTCCAAATTCCCAACCTTGTGACTAGTCGCCGCCATTAACATGGCGACTCGCGAGTTGGCTCTCTCTCCACTAAAAATACCGCCGTTTGAATGCCGCCCGCAGCCTTAACGCAGTCGGAGTTTTGCTCAAGTGTTACGGCGACATCGAGATCCTCAGGTTGGCTAGAATTCAGAAGGAATGTCACATCGGTACGAGAAGATTTTGGTGGAGGCATCGTACAAGCACGGCACGGATGTAATTACAATATGCCTCCAAAAAAAAAAGCACGAAAAGCAGCAGGTAGGCAAGACCAGACATTTCTTAGCGACGCGTTATTGGCGAAGTACTGTACTCCCAAGCAAAAAGGCGGGTCATGCACGAACCAAGGGTGCAAAGCCGCCCTTAAGGAGATAGGTTTTGACCTAACCCTCTTTTTGAGTTTCTGTAACCCAGCCTAACTGGTTAGAGACGGTTAGCCCCACTCCTTGTGCACCAACTCATGTGGGCCTTGCTGAAAAATTCCACGATCTCAGTTGGCGTGAACTGCCCAAAATTACGCTAGGACCGGACCGCTCGACGGCCCTGGTGGCTGATCTACGAATCTGGGATGCCCCCCCCCCTCCCCCCCACCAGCCACGACTGCAGCAAAGAAAGTACCACACCCGCACCATATTTGCCGTATGGGAACCGGATCCGCACAAACGCTTCTCCGCCACGTTCAGTATGTCCTCACGTAATCGAACGTGATGCGTTTTCATGGCCAATATTGATGATAATAACATGACCTTCGAGACCAACCACTTGACGGTTTTGAGTATAGGGTACCCCTGGAGAGTGCACTACTGTCCATCTCTTTCGACTTTGTCCAAGAAAGTCTTTGCCTCCAGTTAGCAGGCTTGTAGTCGAGCCGCGGGGTCAGTGAATATCGTGTGTCGCAATTTTCAGCAACTCCAAGCGCAGCTCGCCCTGGTAGAAAAATCACGGATCAGATTGGGACACACCTGAGTTGTCACATGCCCAATGACTCCGCGAGGAATGGCTCTCAGCCAAGCTAGTGCAGAAGGCGCAGTGGGTGTGGCGGCATGGATCTGGCCTCACATGTAGGAGCCAGCTGTTTATGTCGTCCTATCAATCTTGGCGCATTATTCCAAACTCAGACGTTTAGTCAGTAAATGTGTAATGGACTGTGCGAGGAAACTCGTTAGTGTGGCTTAGCTTTGTAAGGTACCGCCTCCTGGGAACCCAACGGACTTGTTGGCCCCTCTTCAACGCCCCAGGCTCTATTAATGGACACGAGGCTTAACAGACGCTCGTTTTGGAACCAAAAATTATATGGATAGTGTGCGACTCTATGCTAGATTATTATTAGTACACGCTCCTCTTCGGGCGCTTAAATCCTTGTTATGGCGCTTTGAGGACCCTATCTGTCTTAATTTCCACCCGAGCGTCAAGAAGAGGAACATCCGAGTCGTACAACTTGCTCCTTTTGATATCTGACATGGGTGAAGTTTGCGGGTGGTTAACGGTTGGCTTAAACGTCCTACCAGCAGCGTCGGTTCGAGACAGGCACAGGAGACCATCTGGGGTTGCTCTTGTGCCAATTGCTGGTTGGCCAATAGAAAAAGCCACGCTTTTGAAACGGAACTGGAAACCCAATCGTTCGGTCGCCCTCCGACGCCACAGGTTATTCTGGACTCAAGATGAGCTTTGGAGTAACTAGCTGGTAGGATACCCCAGAGCATGACTGAGGCCATTCAGCACCGATCACTCAACTCGCTAACTGATTTGAATAAATCACATTAAAACTGCCAGCAGCAGGTATGTATTATTGCATCTAACTCGCACAACCCCATCCAACGCCAATAATGCGGGGCATATATTTTTGAACATCTATTTCTTCTTCCGTGGAGATCGTGATTTTGACTTAGCACGCTTGGCTGGCTGCCAAAAACTGCCATCTAACGCGAGTTCATCGGCGGATGTGTCGGAATCACAGGGCAGCGACACATTTGAGCTAGGTTTCAGGATCGTTTCCTGGCTGGTAATGGTAGTGCCTTCGCCAGACGCTTCGCTCGCCGGGATTGAATGCAGATCGCCACTGGGAGATGAAACGTGTTGCTTCCCGACTAGTCTTTGGTTTGCCAGCTTGATGGCTTCATCTCTCGCTTGCTTTGTCCAATCTCTGGCGTTACGATAAGCAGTAGCACCTTGTCGAAATGAGTCTGCGTCGCCAGTGAGAGCCCACGATTTGATATGTGTTGTAACGCAGCCAGGTTTGTCTTCCGGAGAGCATGGTGGTATTGGATGGCTGCTGTACATCTTTAGTTGGCCTCCGTGGTATACTGATGAAATAGTATACGCCTTATTGTCGTATTGTGGATCTGGAATGCCGTGCGACTGTAGACTATGTATTCCTCTAGCCCCTAAAGCACCATCGTAATATGACTGTCGGCAAGCAACTGATAGTGTTCCGTCCGGCCCTTTGGCTTCAAGGAAAAAGTTAGGCGCTATTGGCAAGTCACTTTGCGTTGAGGGGACAATCTGGCCGCTTAGCTCTCTGCGAATTCTGCGATCGAGCTGCTCTGGACGCGCACCATAGTAGAGGTCAGGATTGCCTGGTACAAGTGTGCCATCGGTTAAATGGTCAAGATTTGTGAAGGGAATTTCTCCAGCAACACACTTTATATCAGGTACAGTTCCCTCAATTATTGGTATGACAGTTGTTGTAATTTCACGCTCTTTAAAGGCGTGAGTATCTGCTCTCTTAAATCTTCGAAAGTCATCGTTCGAGAATCGAGATGGAGATAAAGATGGTCTAGGCTGGGCCATGGCTAGAAGTATCTCATCCATGTTCTCAGGCTCCGGAGGTAAGGTGCCATCTGGATACTCATACCCGTCTGGGAATATTCTGTGATCAACCAGATGCTGTTGGAAAGCGCGGTCATAAGGGCCTGTACTTCTCGTGCTCGTAGTATTCGGTGTCGCATTGCTCTTTGATGGAAACTGGCTGGCCCTTTTTATTGGGGACTGGGATCCCCTCTTTCGGCGTCCGAGGCTTGATTGACTGGAGCTCATTCTGTCGTAAGACTGAATCGGAAGTCGACACTACTTTATCGTTAGTATGATATCGCATGCGCAAGGCGGTCGTGCATACATACCCCTCTGATATTCGACAGATCGGGTCCACCTTGTCTTGCAAAGCGCTGAACGGTTGAAACAGCTACAGATGTATGCTGTGGTGATATGTATCTTTGGGAGTCTCTGCTGAAGCGATTTCGTCTGTTAAGCTCTCGTATCGCGTTCCGAGTAAGGGGAATTCTTGATAAATCGTCCCAAAATCTTGGAGGTGGAATGTCCGGATGATCGAGTTTCCGTTTCTTCGACGAATGATTCTGCCGATTGTCTTCGACTTCGCTTAAAGATGATTCGACGCGGCGCTTATGACCTTGAGTATTAATGCCTTGACGGTGCGGACTTCGTAGCGGTTGCATTGTTGGGCGCTTGCAACATCAAATATAAACATATGGGAACGCTCCATTTATGGATTTTTGTGAAGTTGAGGCAAGGGAGCTTGCGAAGAAAGATGGCGACGCACCGCCATGTTCTGATTGGTCTGCGCCTTCTCGTTCCAGAGCGCCTGGATACCCTTCCCTTCACACCAAAGTATTCTGACCTGTGAGACGAGTAGTCACCTGCCCTTCTGAAACGGGTGCGGCCTGTTAAATGGGCCTAGCCTTCCGGTCACATGCTCCAAATTGCCCAACCCACAGAGGCCCCGCGCGTAGACTGAAAGATGCGGCCCAAAGTCGTCAATTGCTCGGGGCGCTCATCCATTTTTCTCGGGGCGCTCACGCCCCAATTTTTCTGCGATTAACCCCGCTGCTAGACCCTATAGTACATTCTTAGTATAAATACATGGCAGCTTTACTTAACACTAAAAAGCTTTATTAAAAATTAATGGATTTTTTAATAAAGCTATAGCCGTATAAATTTTTTAGCGGGTAATAGCGTTTTTTCTTCTTTAATACTATAAAGAAAAAATCTAGCTTAAAAGTGTATAATAGCTTAAAAAAATCATGTAAATTATATAAGTATCTTATCATTTAATTAAGGGTATTTACTACTATACATTTAAACTAAAAATGTACTATAGGGTCTAGAATTAAAGGCGCTAGACTAAAATTAGAGCGTGGTAGGGTACAGAGCTCTTACGAATATAGTAAA